CAAAAATCAAAAGTAGCCAAGATGATAAAAGCCTGCGACATAGCAAGCAGCTTGTATTCAAAAATCAAAAGTAGTCAAGGTGATCAAGGCCTGCGACATAGCAAGCAGCTTGTATTCAAAAATCAAAAGTAGTCAAGGTGATCAAGGCCTGCGACATAGCAAGCAGCTTGTATTCAAAAATCAAAAGTAGCCAAGGTGATCAAGGCCTGCGACATAGCAAGCAGCTTGTATTCAAAAATAAAAACGTAGCCAAGGTGATCAAGGCCTGCGACATAGCAAACAGCTTGTATTCAAAAATCAAAAGTAGCCAAGGTGATCAAGGCCTGCGACATAGCAAACAGCTTGTATTCAAAAATAAAAACGAGCCAAGGTGATCAAGATTTGCGATATTTGGAGACACAAAACAATCAGCAGACATCAAAAGCGGAAAATGTTTTCAGAAAATTCAATGCTTCATAAAATATTATGAATTAGAGACGATCTTTAGGAGTCAGTACAATGTAAGTTTTAAAATGTGGATCAAATAGGAGGGTTGGGTATTAGAACTAGCACAGCATATTAAAACATGGAACAGCAAAGAACACATACCCGTCACAGAATTAATATTTATAATTTGTGATAAGCAATAATTATGTTTAGAAAAAGGTTTAATATCACACAACAATCAATAATCACCATAGTCATAATTATCTACATTCCCAAAAGCCTATATAAGACGTGTTTATATGGAACAGTCTGTTTAAAACTAGTATAAATTTGCACGAAAATTCTGAATTACATTGTGAAGTATATTTTGTTTACTAACACTGACAGATGTCTTATGTTCACATGGTCTCAACGAACAAATAGTGCTTACAAATTAGGCCTAACATGGGTTAGGGTGCTCGACTCGCAATCTACTGGTTGCGGGTTCGAATCCCCGTCATCGAACATTCTCTTCCTCTCAGCTGTACTTTTCTGTAATAAAAGAGTAGCCTAAGAGTTGGCGGGGATTGGTGTTTACTATCTGCCTTCCCTTTAGTCTAACACTGCTAAATTAGGGGCGGTTAATGCGGATAGCACTCTAGTAGCTTTACGCGAAATTCAAACCAAACTTATAAATTCATCTTTAAATACAGAGCGTGCATGACGTAGCATAAAGTGACCTACAAGCCATGAGGAAAATAGAATAAAACAAGCCCTAAGGTTGGAGGAGAGCATCTAATATTTGCATATTTATATAATTAGCTATACTATACATGTTTCTTACAAGTTACACAATATCAAGGTAATTTTGTTGTAACTTATAGATGCACACTTTAACATCTCTCAAGTCAAGGCCGCTGCTATGACGTCATGGCCAGCATCGGTCCTTAGTGAAATTAGTACACTAGGACACAGTAACGGCCCACTTTCTCCTCGTATTTAACTAAAGGTTTAAGCATTTCAATAATCACCGAAAAGAAAAGAATAAACAAACAAGAAATAATGGATTTTTGCCCCATGTATGGCGAAATAGTGTCAAGAAAGAATACATATTATATTATTAGTAGACTAGACTGACCGAATTACTAAGAAATTTATTTGCTTTTGCTTGCACATGACATACAAAGCTCGTGTAGTTCCCTGGTGGGTCAGCGGTAAGTTTACGGACTTACAACGCTAAAATCCGAGATTCGATTTCCTCGATGGACAGAGAGCGGATAGCTTATTGTGTAGCTTTGCGTTAAAATAAGCAAGCTTATATTGCATAAGATCGAATACAATAACTAATTTGACACAGAGAAAATGGGATTTACGATTTCGTTAAACTTATATAAGCCCCCAGTGGCACAGAGGTATGTCTGCGGACTTACAACGCTAGAAACAGGGTTTCGATACCCATGGTGGGCAGAGCACAGAGAGACCGTTGTGTAGTTTGTGTTTAATTACAAACAAACTTCGATAAAATATCTTTTATACATTTTAATATACACGTTTTCCTACAAACAATTTCAGATAGTGAAAAAAAAACAATAATATATTTGGAAATTCCAATTTATACAAATTTTATTGTATTGCCCAGTACAATGTTGCATAAGAACACTTAATATTTTCATTTAAAAATAGAAGTTTATGTCGTTCAAGTTATAAGTATATTGTAGAATTTCGACCACAGTAATTCTCATAATCAATACGTCCTTTACACCAAAAAATTATATATATATATTTATTCTTTTACTTAGAACCATATCACTTAATACATAATGAAAGTACTGTTACGTCTCCGTTTGTTAATTGATTTCCCGTAAATTCGTTCCGACGAAACTTTAGCGACACAAGTCCTTACTTAATAAAACTGGTTTATTCTTTCCGAATATAACTTTACGATACACTTCATTTCAACAATCGCGCTAAAACAAACGCTATAACAACGAATGTTAACTTCAACAATACTTTCTCAC